ATTTTTATCAATTTAGTATGTTTATTTGTAACAAAATATCTTCATAAATATAATTATACATCTTTTCGCTTTACTTATACAAATATTTTAAACAATTTTAAGCTTATTTGAAACAATAAGATAAATAACAATAATCTCTTTAAATAACCAAAATGCACTTGTAAATTGCGATAACAGTCTCTTTTTTACTTTACTTTAGTATAGAAGAACCAAGATAGTCGATTCTCCGGTCATCGTAGTAAAGAACAATCTAAACCCTATTAAAATAATCTGTCCAATCCAAAGAATTCTCCGACTCTATGCAATAGCGGAAACACCGGTTCCTCATCGTCTTCGGGTTTATCGTTTTTCTCCGGCTTCTTCTTATCCGGAACATCCGGACGCGCGTTTGAAAACTCCTGAGACGCGTGAATTTCCGACGAGTCCGCTATCTCTATGGTTCCGGGCCGAGGCGGAAACCCGGCAGTCTCAGATATTCCGGGTATGTTTGATAATTGCGTTTCCTAAATGGGCATTAATGAGATCGGTGATGAGAAATTTATAATACTATTAAAGGAATTTCTTAATTTTATTAGTTAGTCGAGAGGTATAAATTATTATATATCTAATATGGAAAATAAAAGTAATGTAGCGCTTTTATAAATAGAGTATGGGCATGATAAATTTAATAGAAGAAAATTCATGTTTCATTGTTACGTAATTAAATAGTATTCTGAGAAAATCACAATGCGAGTTGCTCTGAACTATTGAAAACAATTACTAAAATATTAAGAACTAAATATTTTTTAATAACTTCCTGTAGGGTAGTTATAGTAATCGCAAAAAATCGAAAACGATAATTTTTATATATCTTTACGTTTCAAAGGTTTCAGAATATTTTGGCATATCTTAGAAGAAATGGATGCATGTGTGTGTATGTGCGGATACAAATTTTTGTCGACGATTTCGGGAACACCGATCAACCGATTTGAATAATTCAAAAAACATTCGATTCGTATTGATAAGAAAATGTGCTCATTAGTTTTTGGCAAAAGCATGTCTAGCCGTTCCGAAGATACGGAGCAATAAGTGCCAAAAACGGTAACTCAGTTTTTTAGAGAACGCAGTGTCCGATTTTAATAATTCAAAAAATATTGTATTGACAAGAAGAAATACTGATTAAAGTTTTGAGAAGGCAGGTTTAGCGGTTATGGACTCTCGATAAAAATAAGTTAAACTAGTGGGGTGTATGGCATCGTACCTCACGGTAAATTGCTGGAACTTCCCGTACCGTAACGAAATGTTCAAGGAATACTGAATGTTTTCAAATAGATTATTATAAATATTGTGACATTGTACGATATTTATAAGAATTATATAAACTGAATTGCAAAGTTAAAATTATTTGTTAAAAGTATATTAGAACTTTAGTCAGAATTAGAAATAAAATCTGAATTATTTTCGATATAAAAAAATGATACAATTTTTTTTCAAAATCAATTAATTTGTTAAAACAAGCTGAAAGTTCTTTGAATCATTTAAATTGGACGCTTAGTTCTCTCAAAAACTGCCAATATTTGCACATTTACCTCTGTATCTTCAAAATGGCTGGGCCTGCCTTTGCCAAAAACTGATAATCACTGCTCCCAAGCATTACTAATTGAATGTTGAGATCATTCAAATCGGATGCTTCTTTCTCTCAAAAACCCGATTTCTATTTTCTGCTCTCTTTCCGTATTCCGTATCTCCGTTACGGCTGGACCCCCCTTTGCCAAAAACTAATCAGCACATCTCCCTATAGGAGTCGAATGTTTTTTAATCAATTCAAACCGGTTGATCTGTGCGCCCGAAAACGTTGACGAAAAATTGTATCCATACATACATCCATTTTTTCTGAGGTATGCCAAAATATTCAGAAACCTTCAAAACGTCGAGAAATGTAAAAATTTAGTTTTTTGGCTAATTACAATAACTTACCCTACGGGAAGTTAAAAAATGGACATACAGACTTCGAATTATCAGATATTTTATAGAGATTTCACTAATATGTTCACATCTTGTGTAATTTATTATGGGTTCCGTACCAAGATTTTTAATTACAATACGGGAAGTTTCAGCAATTTGCCTCAAGGCACAATGCTATACATCCCACTAGTTTTTTGAATATTCAGAGAAAATCAAAATGTGAGTTGGTCTAAACTATTTAAAATAATTACTGAAAGATCAAGAAATAAATATTATTTGTACTCCCATTTCTAAATATCGAATTATTCCTTAACTATATAAAATATCTAAAAAATAAATATTTACCAATATATGCTGTTTTATCATAATACTATTCACCTTGCAATGACTTCAGCTCTTCGTGAAAGAATAACTAAATAAGTCATTTGGTGAGACTTGGTGATTAGTTTTTATTTTTTGGCAAATGCAGGTCCGACCTTTTCGGAGATACGGAGAAAAAGATGCAAAAATAACCACTTTTTGAGAAAACGGCGCACCCGATTAAAAATATTTCAAAATACTCGTATAGATTGAGCGTATCACTGTTTCCATTTTTGCAAAGGCAGATTCAGCTGTTTTGGTGATACGGAGCATAAAGTGCAAAAAATAGTAGTTTTGGAGAGAATGGCGCATACGATTAGAGTGATTCAAGAAGCAGATTGCTTGTGGCGAGGGTGTGAAGAAAATGTTGAGTTTTGTTCATTTTATTTTTGTTTTTTGAAGATAAACAAAGATATATTAGATCTATAAACACGACGATAAATTTACTGTATTTATGAATATTAGTTTCTAATATTTAAAACAATTACTATTCATTGATAAATTTTTATTACTGATTACTATACGTGACGTTCCAGAAATTTGCTTTAAGCTTTTAATTTTACATCTATAACTATTAGTCCAATTGTGCAAAAAATGAATCGCACAAATATCATTTGTACTTTTTTTAGAATATATGAAACTTTGTAATTATGAAATTGCCAGATACTCTTAAATTAAAAATCTGCACATGCAACTATTTATAACCTCACAATTAATTTATCATCACTTACTCTTTGAGGTAGAGATAAACATAAACCCACCGCCACTATTAAAATAAATATTTTAGCATATGTCTTATGCATATTTAAGTTGGATTATTACTGTCACTATTCAATGTAAAACTGTTTCGAACTGCACTATGTAAATCTGTTTTATATAAACTTTTATGTCATGTAAATATATCTATTCTATTATCACATACATAATTTATTTGTCTATTTTATATGTTTGACAAATAACATCGACGGTAGGTCGCCAAGAAGCAGCGATTCTTAAGATTTTTGGTAACGGGCATTAAATAAAAGTAAACGTTTTATGTAATGTGAGAGAACGATTTGATTAAATTTAATTTTTTAATTTAATTTAATTTTAATTATTATACATTAATTTTTAATATGTTAATCAAAAGCTATAAACATAACTTCATATATAAGATTACAAAAAAAGTTATTAACATTGAAATGATGAATCCTAAATTTATTAAAAATTCTTTGAAACATTTAGCTCTTAATATTAATTAAATTATTAAATTAATTTCGAAGCATTCGAGCCTCTTGGAGCAAGGAAATTCAAAAACATCCAGATGAAGGACCATCCATATATGTATATATATATATATATATATATATATATATATATATATATATATATATATTAATTGATTAATATGAACAAAACAGCACTCAGATTTGTTTAACACAACTTTATTTTATGATTACAGACGTTTCGAGACCATGGTGTGTCTCATCTTCAGTGTAATTTCAAAAACAGTTACTTATATACTACACATTCTTTAATAATTTTTTTAAATTTCATTTAATTTTTGGTATACAAAAAACACCAACTATTCCTTGCAATGCTTGACACCGTACTACAGTACGGTACGGTGTCAAGCATTGCAAGGAATAGTTGGTGTTTTTTGTATACCAAAAATTAAATGAAATTTAAATAAATTATTAAAGAATGTGTAGTATATAAGTAACTGTTTTTGAAATTACACTGAAGATGAGACACACCATGGTCTCGAAACGTCTGTAATCATAAAATAAAGTTGTGTTAAACAAATCTGAGTGCTGTTTTGTTCATATTAAACAATTAATATTCGTTCCACTCATATCATAAAATTCTATATATATATATATATATATATATATATATATATATATATTATAATGGGAAATATCTCTTACTATTCTACCCTGAATCGAGTTGAAACTTAACTCTGCTTGTGGACCTACTCTAGGGCATTTTATAAATTATAATAATGGCCCTGGTTTTTTCCATCAATGCGGTAATATTGTCCAACGATAATTTCCATTGTTTTCATAACTTTTGCTTTAGGTATTATTCACTTGAAAGTTTAATTAACACCTTTGAAAAAGATTTCTATTTATTTCTTCGATTGTGAATTAGGAGATCTAACTGAGAGTGAAAGTGTCGTAGAAAAAATCATTTAAATGTAAGCCGAAGACGTGTATGGATAACTTATCAATATATATATATATATATATATATATATATTTATGTGTATATATATTATAATTGAATATTATGTTGTTATGTTATTATTAAAAAATGTAATTCAGATAGTTATTGAGAACTATGCCTAAGACTGCCTAAACCTTATATTATTAATATTATTAATAATTAATAAAATACAATGTATTTTTAGTTTTCATTAAAAATTAGTCCTTAGCTTTCACTTATGAAATAGTGTAGAGCCCATAATTTTAGTAAAGATAATCAGAATACAATTTGATAATTTAAAAGTGGATCCAGAAATTAAATGATTTATGGCATGTGTTAGATATCTTATAAACATAAATATAACTTAATAAATATTGCATTTATTTTCTTCTAACTACATTTATCACTATCAAATTTGCAACAGGGTTCTATGTTACATGTGCTACTAATGTATATTATGCTAGTTCCTAATATAGGTATATTATTTGTCTACAAAATTAATTTTACATTTAACAAGAAGGTTTTGATGACTTTCCGGGCATGGGTAGATTATTTGTCATTCCACCTGGTAACTCAGGAAGTTTTGGCATTCCTCCTGGTAATCCAGGTAATTCTGGCATTCCTCCTGGCAATCCAGGTAATTCTGGCATGCCGCCCATTACGTCTGGCATTCCACCCATGACGTCTGGCATTCCACCCATGACATCTGGCATTCCACCCATAACGTCTGGCATACCACCCATCACGTCAGGCATTCCACCCATAACGTCTGGCATACCACCCATTACGTCAGGCATGCCTCCCGGTAATTCTGGTACTCCGCCTGGTAATCCGTCAGGTAATTCTGGCATACCTCCTGGTAACTCTGGTAGTCCATCAGGTAATTCTGGCATACCTCCTGGTAGTTCAGGTAATCCATCGGGTAATTCTGGTACGCCACCTGGTAGTTCAGGTAATTCTGGCACCCCTCCTGGTAATTCTGGTGCCCCTCCCGGTAATTCTGGTGCCCCTCCCGGTAATTCTGGTGCCCCTCCCGGTAATTCTGGCAGTCCATCAGGCAATTCGGGTACACCGCTTGGTAGATCTGGTAAACCATCTGGTAATTCAGGTACACCTCCTGGAATACCGTCGGGCAAATCCGGCACTCCTCCGATGTCCTATAATTGGAATAAAAAAAAAAATTGCTGTTTTGTATTTATGCTTGTAAGATGATTCATTCAGTCAGCTCAATATTTTTGATGCGAAAATTTTTATTTTCTTAAAAGATTTAACGACTATGATGAAAGTAAAAACTTTAAATCCTCTTTTCTGTCTGTAAAATAATACCTAGATAGAGAAATGTTTCGAATCCTTCCAGATTAAAAGTATTTATTTTATATGTTTGTTTTTTTATTAAGTTCAATAATTTAATCACTTACTCCGCCTGGTCTTGCTTTAGTCCTAGGAATCCTGCTAAGTAGTGGGATTAGCACTAAGATCAAACCGCTGAATTTCCAAATCATTTTCACTGATACTACCAAGCTATGTCGAAGAAATGTACTACCAAATGATACTAAATATCACAGAAGAAACATTTCATCTTATATAGTCTGAAAATATTTGATGAAGACATTGATTGTATGTTTATAAATACAGCTGTTTCAATACACGGTGATAGAAGTCTGGCGCGAATTAATATTTGCCTTTGGCGGCATTGCTCTCCTGTTTACACGTTCTTATATGTATATAAGCCGAGACACAAAAGAATTCTAACATTTTACTCGAGCGAAAAAGCTTTGCCGAGTTATTGATTTGTCGGTGGAAAATTATTTGACACCTATTGTTTTGATTTGATTTGAATAACAGGTTTTAATTTGTAAGGTTTGTAAGATTTAATAGAGTTTTATTTGTAATTTTATTCAATGGGTTCTGTTCTAATATTTGATTCAATATTTAAAGATAGATGGAATTTTATATTCAGAAGATTATTTGCAAATTTGCATAACGAGAGTGATAATGACCCGAGATTTTATTTGCTAAAATCAGCTTGTATGTTGCACATTTCATCTCTCGTCTAATGTAATATGCTCTCCAAGTTTTTATCAAAATTGTAGAAGTTTTATTACATTGAAACATTGGAACATTGGAAGTAAATTAGAACTAGTGGTGTATGGCATCATGAATTAAGACAAATTGCTGGAACTTGCCGTACCGTAACGAAATATTCGAGGAATATTAAATGTTTCCAAATAGATTATTATAATTACTATAGCATGACTATAACATTGTCTAATATTCCTAAAAATCATATAAACTGAATTACTATGTTAATATTATTTATTTGAATTACATGAGTGAGCTTCAAAACTTTACACCGAATTATAATTAAAATCCGAATTATTATCGACATAAAACTAAAATTGTAAAGAAAATTAAAATTTGAAATAGACAAATAAATCCCAAAAGCAATCGTTTCGTTAACACAAGCAGAAAGTTTTTTGAATCATTCAATTTGTAAGCTTAGTTCTCTCATAAACTGACATTTTTTGCATATTACGTTCCGTATCTTCGAAGTGGCTGGACCTGCCTTTGCCAAAACTAATCACCACTTTTAGTCATCATTACGAATAGAGTCATTCAAATCGTATGCTCTATTATCTCAAAAACTTGATTTCTATTTTCTGCATTCTTTTCTCCGAAACGACTGGACTTACCTTTGCCAAAAACTAATCTGCATATGTATCGAAAACAAAAAATTTTAATTTCGATTTTTGGACAATTACAATAATTTACACCTAATTAATTTAAGCTAATAAGACATTAAACAAAGTACGATTAAGATAATATTAAATGTTCTGGAATTTTTGAAACTAATCATTTTATTTAAATTATTAACATCAATTTATATTCAAAATTATAATCAAATTATTAGAACTAACCACAATAATAAACATTGATTTCAATTTACATGACACGCGCGATATAAACTCAGATTTTTTTCTACGATAATCATGTATGTATTGAATCCATAAAATGTGAGATAACTAAAGTACATATTATTATTATTTCATATAATATTAATTTTATACTAACAATATTTAACCCTTTCCATTCGCGAATTCCGGAGTTTATATGTACTTTGCCGCCGGAGCGGAGGAATCCGAGTCGAAAGGGTTAGCACAACTATATGCAACTTGCGGTATTTGTTTTGTTCAATTACTTTCTTTAAATAAAAATATTCTTTGTTATTGATTTCATCAGTATAAATTTATGACTCATCTATTATGATTCATTGCAAAAAAAACATGTGTTTTAGTTTACATGTTTTCTTAATCTTATATTTATTCTTCACAAATATTTAATTAAATAATAAAAACAGAAAAAAATTCTTAGAATTAATTCGAAATAACCATAAATTAAACATTTGGTATACCTGAAGGGTTAAATTACTAAAATGATAATTACAAGAAACTGTTATTTAAGAACTGTTGATTAATACCTAATAATTATTTACCAATATTAAAAATATTTATAATATTGATCAATAACCATTCTATTAAAATTTTTAAATCACAAAACTATTTAATTAAAATTTTTGATAAATTTGCTCAGAAATAATTATAACTATAGTAAATTAGTAGCTGTTGTATGGGATTCTCATGAAAAATGTCTCATTATATGTATATTTTAATATGAATCAAATTGTTTTATTAAAAATATCAATAGTGTAAAAATAGAAGTTTGAATCAATATAACTATATGATAATATTGCAATAATCACGTAATTCGTTCATAATGTGAACAGATAATTTTTCATGTATATTAATAAGAAAACACTAATATATACAGTTTATATATACAGTATACTCATTAAAAAAATGTGCTTATTTCATTAGTGCATACAACAATTAAAATTGCAAAAACAATTATTCTACTAGTAGCCATATATTTAAAACAGCTAGTTATTAAATAATTCAATATTGTCATTAGTTAATGTGTAAAGAGTTCAAAAATTATATCACGTTTTAGTAAAAATAGCTCATTTAAAATTTCTTAGCGTCGCCTTCAGCAGTTTAATTTTGCATATTCATTTATTAACGTTTTGCAATATAATTATAAAATTATAACAGCGCTAAACATAGGAACGAGATCAAAGATAACTTTTAAATTAAAATTTAATATCGACTCAGAGAAACATGAGTGAGTACCTTCAAAGATGTTTCAGTACACGAGAAAAAAGCATACACTTTGAGTAATTACTGTTTTATGATTTTATTAGGAATGATGTTTCCACGAGACGCTACAGCATTTTTGAATTTATGAAGAATAAATTTCCAAATTATTAAACGTATCTTACATGGTCATAAAAATTTTTAAAAATAAGTAAAATAAATTTATTTAATCTAATTTGTTTTCGTCTAGCTTGTATTATCATATTATATCTGATATCTGAAATGTATTGTTTTTAAATTTGTGAAGTATCTAATTAGTAGTTTTGATAAGAGAATATTTTGAAGTAAAACTTCTTTAGTCACGACTAGGGTGTAAATCCGTACAAATGCAACGGAAGTCCGTTACGGCCAAACTGTACGTTATTCGCTCTCGAACGTTGTATGCGTTCCGATATCAACAATGAAATCGGCATAGATAAATAAACATTTTAAAGTTACATCGTAGTACAAATCTTGTTTAAATGAAAAATGCCTGTATCAGATGAATATTTTACCCTGCTCTTTGAAAATACTGATTAATAATATTAGTGATTAGTAAGTTTATTGTTTAGAAATTATTTCTATATTATTCGTAGCTTCTATAAATCTTTGAAGTTATTAAAATGGAAAATATTTTTTAGGCAAGACAGATATTACAGCTGTTCAATGAATGAGATTATATCGCCAGCGAAAAAGTAAAAAAATACAAGCAGTCAATGAATGTATGTAAATTTTAATTACATGAAGTTCTTCACAATTCCATGATGAGTGAAGTTGCAAAAACAATATTTGGTTAGACGTCGTAAACAAAATCCACTATGTGAACGAATATTATAGAATTTATTCATCAGCAATTACTTAATTTCTCTAATAAAGGTTTATTTCTAAATGCTAATTACAATGACAAATCGATCATGTCATAATTGAAGTAAAATTACAATTTTTCTTTTAAATACATGTTGTTAATGCTATTATAAATGTATAATTTATAATTTATCATTATATAATTGTGTATAATGGTTGACACTAATAAATGTATGCATCATGAGTGTTACCATATTACTGCTAAACATTATTCAAAATTGTTATATGATGTATTTATTTTTACTTAAATGCCATCTTGTACAGTAGCAATTAAGTTTTACTTCAATTGCGTGTGAACCTTACGCGCACTCTATTTTTTTGATAAAATTTCCTATTATTGTTTCAATTTTTTTGTTAATGCGGCGTATTCCAAAAATTCCTGCAAAAATTTTATTGAATAACCAAATAATTTTCAAATAATAGGAACCCAGCATATCATTTTTATTCAGGTTTTAAGTTACAATACCATTTTACTAATTCTACAAAGCTGGTCTTTCATTTTAAATATAATCTTCATGCAAAAATTGTCTTCAAATAGTCTTCTGGTTTATTTATTAATTATAATTAAAGAATTCTGGCATATGAATAAAACATACTTGAATAATTACATTTCAAATATTTTATTGAAGTAATCATTAATCATTGAAATCATTTAAATAAATGTTCTATTTAATTTAACTTCTCAGTTATTATTATTTAGTCAGCTCAAAATCAAGTTTTTAAATTCTGTAAATCACTCATCTTCGGCTCGCAAAATAGTTTGACCATCAAGATTCTTCAAATTACCTAATCTTTTAACAGCCTCTCTTCGCCAAGTTTCTTCATCCATGGAGTCTACCAATGGGTTGCCTATCATTAATAATTCCTGCAAAATAATTTTTAATTTTTTTTTTTAAATAGAGATGTTTTTTTTTTTTTTTATTTTCTTATAAATTACAATCTGTCTAAATAAAAGACATTGAGTAATTATTTTGATAAATAACATTAAATTATAAAAGGAAAACCCAGTGGTTCACCTTTTATTAATGTACTAAATTATATTATAATTTTGGTATAATAAAGAAAAAGAAACTCAAATAAACATACAATTATAAACAAAGTAAAAAACAAAACAAAACACACACCTATTTTAAATAATATTGTAGAACAACTTATTACTGATTAATATGTTAGATTTATTAATTGAGTTCTTTTTAATCTTATATTGTGTGTGGTATTGTAGAGACTTGCAATCAGTTCGTTTGGATGGTGGTCAACTTTGGTCTTGAAATTGTGGGCACTCTTTCTAATTTCTTCACTGATTGTCAGTGTATCCGTGTCTTGGTGAATTAGCCACGTCGGTACATACCTTGGCGCGGATATTGCTTGCCTGAGTATTTTATTTTGAAAACGTTGCATTATTTGTAAATTACTGACTTTAGCAGCACCCCATAGATGGATGCCATACATCCAAACTGGTTTCAGAATAATTTTGTATAATAAAATTTTATTGTACATCGACAGTTTTAATCTACTACTGAGGAGCCAATACATCGACCTTCGAAGGTGTTCTAGATGTTCACGCTTTTTTTGAATGTGGATTTTCCAGTTCAATTTCTTGTCCAGATACATACCCAAATACCTTACATGATCTTGGCTTGGAATTTGTTCGTTATAAATTGCGACAGGTGGGCATGTATCTTTCCTAAGAGTAAACGTAATGTGAACAGATTTTGAATTATTAATTGTAAATCTCCATAAAGTAAACCATTTTTCAATTATATCAAGGTGTGACTGCAGCTGCGTTGAAACCGTAACAGGATTTTGATTTCGGGTTATAATGCATGTGTCGTCCGCGAATAAAGCCAGATTAGTATTGGTAAATTGAGGAAAATCAGCAGTGTATAATAAAAACAGCATAGGGCCTAGGACACTTCCTTGTGGGACTCCCGCGTTCACTTCTCTTAATTCTGACTGCGTGCCACTTATATCAACATAAAACTTTCGTTCGCAAAGATATGATTGTAGTAGTGAGTAAGTCGAATAAGGTAGATTTATTTTAATTTTATACAAGAGACCTTTGTGCCAGACTTTGTCAAACGCCTGAGACACGTCAAGAAATACTGCAGAACAGTACTCCTTACAGTGTAAGGCAGCGTTGATGATGTTAACAACTCGATGGACTTGCTGTAAGGTCGAATGCTTTGCCCGAAAACCAAATTGATAATTTGGAATTATATCATTGGAAATTATATGATCATTTATTCGACTCAGAAGCAATTTTTCGAAAATTTTTGATATAATCGGCAATAAACTGATAGGTCGATATGATGGTGCTAGGTGTTGGTCTTTTCCAGGCTTCAGTATTAGTACGATTTTTGCAATTTTCCATGCTGTAGGAAACTTGCGAATCCTCAGTATTGCATTAAAGATGATGGTAATGAATCTGAATACAATGGCTGGCGATTCTTTTAGCATTTTCATTGATACTTTGTCATGGCCAGGAGATTTACCAGATTTGGCTTTGTTGATTTGATGTTTTACTTCTGATAATGAAATTTTTATAATTGAATCTTCGTATCGAGGTTCATTCTGTAGATACTGGTGGATAAAATATTCAGCATCGTCTGTACAATTTTGAGGAGCTGGATGAAAACAATTAAATAGATGATCTGCAAAGATTTGTGATTTCTCTATTGGGTTTCTAGCCCAGGATTGATCTGATTTCCTTATAGGTGGAATTTGTCTTATTGGATTTTTGATTTTTCTAGTAGCCTTCCATAATGAGTAGTTGGTATCCTGATTTGGAGTAAGATTGTTCAAGTAATTATCGAATGATTCATTTTTGTGCTGAAAAATTAGTGCCTTTAGGTCTCTGCAAGCTTTATTATACCTTTTTTTATCTTCCGGTGAGCGGGTTAATTGCCAAACTTTACGCAATTTTCTTTTAATTGCAATGTTCTGTTTAATATTTATAGGACACAATGATTTTCGATTGCCTGCGAACTTCGGAGTGGAATTTTTAGCCGCATCTTGAAATATACTGGTTAGATTGTTTATTGCATTGTTTATATCACGTTCGTGTTTGAGGGGAATGTTACAGTTTACTTTACTTTCAATTATATTTCTAAAAGCAATCCAGTTTGTCAAATAATTTGTTAGATGGTGATCACTTAAGCCAGACTTTAAAACTGTTGAATAATTCAATATTACTGGGGAGTGATCAGAAGTTAAATCCAGACATGATTCAATTCTCAGTAAATCTTCATTAATATTTTTAACTACAAAAAAGTCTAAAAGGTCTGGTAATTTACTCAAGTCACTTGGCCAATATGTCGGTTCCCCAGTTGAAATAGAATTATAGTTATTTGAGTCGATTGATTTAAGAAGTTCACGACCACGTGGCGTAATTAACCTCGAGCCCCAAGAAGTGTGTTTGGCATTGTAATCACCTCCTGCTATAAATTTATTACCCAATTTACTGAAAAAGTCTGAAAATTGATTTTTTGAAATAATATGCTTCGGAGGACAGTAGAGAGCTGAAACAGTGACCGCGCACAATGATAAGTCAATGCTAACACATGTTGCTTGCAAATAATTTTCACAGATTGGTTCTAGCTCATAATGACGGATATTAGATCTTATTATTATTGCCGATCCACCGTGTGCTGTTCCATCTGGGTGTTCAGAGCTATAGATAGTAAAGTTAGGTATTCTTAAATGACATTTTTCTTTTAAATGAGTTTCTGATATTAGTAGCATATCGATAGAATTGTGTGATAGAAAATATTTAAGTTCTTGTATGTGTTGATACAAGCCATTGGCGTTCCATAAACAAATTTTCAGTGATGTAGCCATTACTTATTTTTTGAAAGGATGGTTGTTAATAGATTGAGGATTATACTTATTTGTTCTGTTAATGTTTTGATCATTTGTTTTAGTTCTGAAATGTCGTTGTTATTGTTGTTGTTGTTGGTATTGTTGTTCGTTACATTGGCGTTATCCGTTGAAGTTTGATTTGTATTCGTATCTTGGCGAGTTGCGTAAGCGAAGCTCTTTCCTGGTTGCACTAAATTATTTTCTTGCCTTTGTGAAATTTTGTGACGAAGAATTGGAAATTTCCTTTCGAGTTGCTCTTGGTACACTCTGCATCCTTTGTAATTGGCTGGATGATTTCCGTCTGTGCATAAAACACATTTAACATTTTTATTAATTTTATCTTCCCAGGAACAATCTTTGGTTAAATGATTTCCTGCACACTTTACACATCTAGGCAATCTAAAACAATAGTTTTTGGAATGTCCTAGACGTTGGCAGTTTGAACACTGTAGTATTTCTCGGGCAAAGTGTCTTGGCTCAATCTCAACACTGGTATTGTAGAGGAAATTAATTTTGTAAAAGTCTGTATTGTTTGGCTTCTGCTCTAAATCTATTGAAAACATGTTAAGCGGGTATTTTGTGTACCTACTTTTCATATTTGAGATATTTATTACCGTATGTCCTAGTTTCTCAATTTCAGTTTTTAACATTTCCGTATCTGTGCAAGTTTTTAACAACGACTTTCAGTGGCCTTTTAGTTCGGTTTTGGAAAGAATGCATTTGGGTATTTCTGATTTTTAGTAGTTTTAAGATCTTGTTATAAGTTTCTGCATTTTCTAAAATTAATTTCACTTGTGTCGCATTTATTATTTTAATTTTATGTAAATTTTTGGCTTCAGTATCAAGCAGTTGAGTAAGGGGCTTGATATCGCGAACTTCATGGATAAAAATTGGTGGTGGTTTTATTACATTAGTAGTATTTTGTATGTTTGCAGTTTCTTCCCTACTTAAAATCTCAAAAGAATTTTTAGTAGGGGTTGGGTTGAGCCAATAGACGGAACTTGTGGAATTATTTGTATCGTTTTCATTCATTTTTGCATTCCTGGTTGATTTTTTAACTAATTTAGCTATATTGGTATCATTGATATTATCAAATTGATGCCTTTTTTTATGCATAACTGTTGTCCAGCCCTGTTCTTGATTGGATGACGCAAGTTGTACATCCCCGACTTGATCGGCACTGGTGTCTTGTTGAATGATATCGCTTGTGTCCATTTCAGATGTATTTACAATTGCATTGCTGTCGTTGTTTACATTTTTGGTTCGTTCCAAATATTCATGGAATTCTCTCATTTGCTGAATAACTAATTCGGTATTATTACGGGTATTGTCTTGCAAAACCTTGTTGACTTCCATTATTGGCAACGATGATGTTGATGGACACTCCGAAGGGTCGTTCGTATTCATATTTGATAAAGAACACATACACTAAAACACTGATTAATATTTCACACTATATTAATATTATTATATTCAATATATATGAAATGAATTTAACACTTTTGATAGACGTTGTTTGTTTATAATCCGAGCATATCCCGCAAGGGGAATGCGCACATTTAGAATGTCAACAATACACGAATAATTTGAATGCACTCCGTTTTATCAAGTTAATATTATGAGATTATGTAACACTTACAATTTAATTCTACTGCTGACGATGCGTTCGCTTCAACGTCCGAACAATGAAAAAATAGAGATGTAAAGAAAAAAAATTAACTGCTATGAATAAAATTTGATGTATTGGGTCAAAGTGAATTTAACAAACAAATTAGAAAAATTCTGATCGAGCCCTCAAAATTTTGAAAAATACTAGACTTATTGTTCAAGTTTTGGTAAACCATCTAATCAATTGATATATTGGACTTTAATAACTATTTTTTTATTTTTGTCAATTGTTTGAGTAATTTAGCAATATAATCTACATTCTTATACTTTAGATGTTTGTGTCAACCAATCAAATGAGTTTATAAGTTTTTTTTTAAGATTAGTTATTATCATATAGTTTATTATAATATTCTATTTTTACTTGCAAAGTGGGAACTTCTTGTAGTTTGTTGAATTCTGACCAATCTTTAATTAGGTTGTTGCTGATATAAAGAACTTTAAGTCGCTTAAGAACACCTATTCCTTTAAGTTTTTCAATCAAATTGTAGCTTAACCATAATTCTTCCAAAGTATCAGCCACACCTTCCAATCCAGTCAAATTTTTAATATAGTTTCTAAAGTAATATTTAATCTTAAATTAATATGATAAATAATAATTACTAAGTTCAATGGTTTTGAATTGACAAGACAAGATTCGTTTAATAATTTTTTTAAATTAAAATTTTACAAATATTATTATCACAATTTAATTTGTACTTGATTAAATCAATCAACTCTATACAGTTGCAATCAAAATTTTATTTGAAAAATGTTTCTAAATAAAATAACACTTAAAAATATTAGTTTTGAGTTCAAATGCAATTTGTTTATTATGTATGTAGATGTTTGATATCTATATATAATAAGATAATGTTAATATTTATTAAGTATTAGCATATACATAGACCTTAAAAAAGTATGTGTATCTACGATATTATGAATTTTTTTGTTGTTTTATTCTTCTTGAAAATAGTAAAGCAAAATTTTAGAAATAATATCAGTTCATTAAGTTACTATTGGAAATATTTAAAAAAATGTATAGAACTTTACCTTGCTAGAGATAGAATCTTGAGGTTCTTCAACGAACTTATTCCAGCAATTTTATCAATCATATTAGTAGATAAACTCAGTTTCTCGCATTTTACCAAGACGTTCAAGGAGTTATCCATTTTCTCTATAGGAGGCCACTATTGTAAAGTAATATATTTTTCAATCTTCATACATCTTACATAAAATACTGATTATAACTACAACTATAATTTTTATATATTTACACCAAATTCTCTAAATCAAGAATGCCTTTCCAAGAATATTCACATTGTTGCTTATTAAAACTACATATTTTGTGACATAATTTGTCAATTTGTAGCCAAAAAATCAAAAAGAAACCAATAGAATGGTTTGATAATAAATTTATTAAAGAATTATTATTTATATATTTAAATAATCAACATCATACTTCTGGCATCAATAATAATATACTCTACTAAAAGATAGCAGTTTTGGATATTATATAAAAAATAATTTTTTAGATTGTATTTTTAAAATTCAAGCCGTATCTTTGGGTCAAGAAGACCGTTTCAGAATTCATTTGAGAGATATGGTTTCTTCGGCAAAGTATCTTATTTTTATCTTTAGTATCCGAAAATCATATGTGCCGATGCGAATTTTTTTCACCCATACAAATCGACCCGCCCTAATGTACATATTACAGAAAAGTAAATAAACGAAACAAAATTAATCGGATTTAAAATGTAGAACATTGTCGAATATAATATAAACTGAATTGCAAAGTTAAAATTATTTATTTAAATTATATAAATGAGCCTTAAAACTTCAGCCAGAATTAAAATTAAAACCGGAATTATTTTTGATGTACAAAAAATATATTTTTTTTTTAATTTAAAAAAAAAAATACAAAATTTTATCCAGAAAGTTTATTGAATCATTTAAATCGGATCTTAGTTCTCTCAAAATTAGTATCTCCGAAAGCGCTGGACCTGCCTTTGCGAAACACTAATAACCGATTCTCCTCATCATTATGAATTGAATGCATTTTGGATAATTCAAATCGGAAGCTCCTTTCCCTCAAAAACTAGATTTCTATTTTCTGCACTCTTCGCTCCGTATCTCCGAAACTGCTCGACCCGTTTTTGACAAAAACTAATCTGCACATATCACTATCAATAGAAATCGAATGCTTTTTAAACCATTCAAATCGGTTGTTCCGTGCGCCCGAAAACGTGGACAAAAAGTTGTAACCATACACACGCACACACACATACACACATCTATTTTTTTAAGGTATGCCAAAATATTTAGAAACCTTCAAAATGTAAAGAAATGTAAAAATATTCAATTTTGATTTTGGACCATTACAATAACTTACCCTACGGGAAGTTAATAAAAATTAATAAATATTAACCTGAAATTGTAATTGCACATCCAAAGCTTCTCCAATTGGAATATCTGGATGTTTCTCTTCCCATCGTTTGAGAGCCTCTTTAATTGATGTAGGTCGCAAAGCCATCACATATGAATAATTATAATCAAAACATAAAATCAGTAGTGAAATTCAATAATGCATCTAAATAAATATGTCAATATTTGCAGTACAAACAAAACAAATATTTTATACGTAATTTGTTTTTGCCAGATGAATGCATTATGGATGTTATGAATAAAAATAAATTTATACACATTGGTTTCATTTCGTTTATAGTTTTCACCTCGTGTGTAATTTTCGGTTTCAAATTAATCAACGTTATGAAAATAAAAATAAATGAGTATATTTTGAAGCAATTTATGATATTTGTGACAATTGTCGATTGTGAATTCGAATAATATATACATGTTGATTGAAAAATTTATGATACTATTTGTTTAGCTTTGACTTATTTAGTTAGCTTAACTGGTTTGTGTTATAAATTGTGGAACATTGTTATTAGAGCTGTAAAATGCTAAAAATTAAAGCTGTAAAATAAAAATTATTTGAGTTTTGTTCTCGGAGATTTTGATAAAATAGTATTTTCAAAATGCTTTTTATGGTAATGTAAAAATGTGTTTTAATTGAAAAGGCACCGTCATATGAGAAATTTGAACTTTTAGAATGATGGGCATAAGTTTAAGCCAGTAATTTTCCTGATTTTATTTATTGCAACCGTATTTGCCAAAAAATACAAAAAAGTCCTTTTCTTTAAATACATAATTGAAATGAAAAATGTTTTAACAATTTTTAAAAAAGATACGTACCGATTTTGCAAACTCGAAAACTGTTTGAAAGTTTTTGTTTATGATCGGCTAAAACGTTTTGTAATTGATTTGATTTTTATTAATTACTCTACGGATTTCAATTATTTTTAGCAATTATTAGTTTTAAGACAAAACATAAGGCAAAAATAGTGATGTAATTTTAAAAAACATATTTGATAGATATCAACTAGGAATTGTGTTGTCATAGTAAAGTATAATGGATTTTTTATAGTTAACAGTTAAAAATAATTGCAAAAGATTCCAATTTCAGTTGATTAACTCGATCCGAAAAATTCAGCGCAAAAATAGCAAGTACTTTCAAGTTTGATATAATGATTGACTTTTAAAAAAATAATTTGTGATCTGCCCATTCGATTTTTTTCTATCTATATCGAGGGATTCCTTTTTTAGAGTTTCGCCTGCCCGATATCAATTAATTTTTTGATTTTCTCTATCGAACTCCCAGTGATTGAAATATCTTTTTTCTAAAAAAAAAATGACATTTCGACTATTGAACAAACGCAGAAAAGCTGATGAAGCTTCGAGAATCAAATTTCAATATTGGCAATCGCAAACAATCTATAGAACTTGTCATGTATCTAAAATCTTTAAAACTTTATTAGATTGAATAAAAATGATATTGATCGATCCCTGATTTAATCGTCTGCATAATTTTGTAATTTTACAAATACAGCTTCATTTTCCCATAAAACTAAGGAGCTTGATATTGGAAAAGATTTGATCAAATAGAATTGCCGCAAATCCGCACGTGATGAGAAAAGTGTCAGGAATTCAGTAAAGATTTGCGTAGAATTATTATTATCAGAAGTCGGGAATCTTTAAATTTACAATTTTGCCATTTGAATAGGTGGGATTCGTAGTCGGCGAATGTCTGTGAGGGGCTTTTGGAATGAAATTGAGTATGTTGATGCCTTGTAAAAGGAAATTTATCCTTTTCTTACATTTTTAGATACGTAAAGACGTAGATATATACATGATTTTACTTGAATAAAATAAGAAAGCTCTAGATTATAACAAATAATTATAGTTGAATTATTGAATACTAGTTTGCTTTCTTAAGTTGATATTTTCTGTATATTTGGTCGAATAGCTTTTTCATAAATTTTTACACAAGCGTACCAAAACAAATAAAACTCATTTTCCAAATGTATATAGTCAGTTTAACCACACGTTACTTTCCATGGTATTATGTTTTTTGTTATTGACACAACTGCGTCAAACATTTTTTTGCACGTCATTCTAAATTCATTAAGAAATAAAGCATACATTTTCTAGATTTCTGAATAGAGATAAAATACTATATTTAATTTTTATAAATGTTTATTATTTTTGTTTATGTTATAATTGAAGCAGCACATCTGTTTCTCCAATCAAATCAAAAGTGATAGAAAACTATTTGCAAAAGCAAAAGTGTTTGAATCTTTTCCCGACCTTACTGACTTTTTTATTCTTTAATTTTTTTACCAATCTTCTCAAGTTCTGTAGGCCTACATTTTACTTTCTGAGCTATGAACTATCTATAAATATACTAGCTGACCCGGCAAACGTTGTTTTGCCATAAGAAATATTTCTAGTATAAAATGTTCAGTACAAAATAACCAACTGATTATGGTGCATAAGTGAAAGGAGCAGCTAACAAACAATATTTGAATAATTTACAGTCTTTGCAAGAGTCAGCTAATCTGAAACTGATTCTATATAAATTGAATCAGCACATTTTATGTTTCAAGATTTTGATATATTATTACCGTGCTGTTTACTAATTCAGACATTTTTAAAAACCGAATCAAAATCCGATAATTCATTTTTAAATTATATAGTTATGTGGCATACTCAGCGAATTGACTGAGATTGAAAAAACATTAAATATGTAGTGTCAAATTTTACAGCTTTGTCATAGATTTGTTTAGTACATATAAGCTCCCTATCAAAAATTGTTGTATCTTGAGATTTTATTATTCAATCTCTATTTCTTTGCAAAAATTACTCTTTATGTAAATCGTTTATCAACTATATACAATGCTTATTGGGAAATATTTGTACAATGAGATAATGGAACGGGCACTTGTTGTGAAAATAACACTTGATGAGAAAAAATTTTCTTTCTAAGTAAATTTATTGTTTTTTCATAAGGTCAGCAAAATTTCAATTAAAATTCAGTGAACAGAACACTTACTGTCTGAAAGCGTGGTGAAAATTATTCGATTACTAAAATGGCTATTATGAAATAGAGATTTGTGGAAGGAGGTTGAAAATTTAAAGTTGTGCGCATTTTTTAATTTCACAATATGAACATTACACTTAGGAGAAAACAGATTCCAAAATTTAAAATAAAGTTAGAATTTGACCCCTGATAAAAATAAATAGTTTTAATTGAAACGAGTTGCATGTATTTTGTAATTTCGCATTGTAGAAATTTAAAATAAGGAAAATTGGTCCCAAAATTTAAAAACAATATTGAGGGTGGATTTGATTAAAATAAATAGTCAAAGAAATTGTGTTGAAGTCAAAAGAATTGTATGTTTTTTTTAGTTCCAAGAATATGAATTCGAACTTAGCAATAATTGTTTCATTTATTTTTATTATCAAAAAAGCACTGTGCTGAAACAATTACATTGTATTTATATAAAAAAATGTTTCAAGATATTAGCAATTCGACATGCAAACGTGGTTACGGAACGAATTAAGCTCGTGAAACGGGGTACCACTGTAGTAATATATTCTAAAATATAAATTAATAAAACACATTCTATATTAAAAACTGCTCTCTTCAACGATATAACACAATTAATCTTCAAACGTCGATGTTTTGTTGTTTGTCTGTGCGGAATTTTCGAAATAAAATTGAGTATTTTGATGTTTTTTTTTTAAAAAAATATCACTTTTTTACATTATATACGCTAAAAGTAGAAGATATACATTTCTTTTGAATAAAATGAGGAACCTTTAAATGATAGCAAATAGTTGAATTATTGAATTACTAGTTCGCTTTGGTAAGACGTGATAATTATTCTCTGTATGTTCTTATTTTTTCAAAAAAAACTTTGAGTCAAATCACATGGATACTTAAGGCAAGTGACTTTAATATGAATTTATATGCATGCTTGCATATAAATTAATGATAAAGGTACGCTAGCGAATCAAAATAAATTATCCTTATTATTAAATATTATTATTATGATAATAAAATTTATTATCCAAATTTATATACGTAGATATGAACCTGACGTCTCTTGAATAAAATGAGGAAGCTTTAAATGAGAGCAAATAGTTGAATTATTGATATACTAGTTTGCGTTGGTAAGGCGTGATGATTATTCTCTATATGTTCAAGCAAAAGTTTGAGTCTATTCACATTGTTACAATTGTTCAAGTGAATTTATCAAGAATTTATATGCAAGCGTACGAAAACAAATAAAATTCATTATGCAAATCTATATAATCAGTTTAACCACACGTTAAATTTTCCATTGTGGTTATTTTATTGACACAACTGCGTCAATACAGTTGTACAATATATAACACATTGATTCTTAATAATTGCTTACAATACAATATAATACAATTACAATAACCTATACCCAACCTCAATTAATCTTAAAACATCGATGTTTTGCTGTTGATTAACATTCCTCATCCCCATCACCATTTACAATTCGCTCGGAGCGAAAGAGTGGGCTGATCCTCCATGCAAATGCCGGCCAGCCGAGCCGGGCCGGGCAGGGCAAGGCAGGGCCGTTCCTGGGTCGACACAGAGCGCTTGGCTTGCGTGATAGAGCGGCTGGTGTGAGACACTATGATAGTGTAATTGACGATGTAAGGCAGAATTAATTCCGAGTCTAATCTTACAAACCGCTACCTTCCTGAGTTGAAGCAAGTCTGCGGACTCTAGCCGTAATTAATACAAATGTTTGCATGTGTAGATGTGCATGTACATAATGAGGAATAAGCATATATTTACGCAAATGCGCTGACACTAATATTGAATAATTGTCGTATATGCTTTTAAGCAGCTTGCTGTAAGTGCAAGCTATGTATATGACAACTAGTATCCTGTAGTACTTACACTCATCACATTTGAATATCTGAATGCATTAGAGGCTGATATAGGGTAGAGCGGGGCTTGAAGGTCCGCGGGTGAAAAGATCCAGAACTGATATCTGAAAAACCAGTACAATTAAAAAAAAATATTAGTTTTTTTTTTAATACAATATCTGTTATAACTGCTGAATAATATAACATCTAGAAATAGAAGTA